CATAGGATATCGACCTGAGACCCGGGAAGATTTTTTTTGACTAAATTTCATTCTCCAGCACAGGGAGCAGTCATGACAGATATTAATCAGCACTTGAAGTCCAGTCACAGTTGTAGAAAAATTTGTTAAATCGTCAGCATAGGTTAATATTACCTATTATTATTATTATCATTATTACATTATGTAAGTTATTTCTGATTAAAACACCAGCGTGCCCGCAGTGGTACAGGGCACACTGGGGAGGATTATCAGGGGCGGACCCAAGATATTTTCTGACTGTCTTCCAAATTATCTTTGTTGATTTATCCTTCATTTTTGACCGTCTTCCGACAGAAAAAAATTAGATACCCATCAATGTAAACTTGAAAATCTGACCGTCTTCCGGAAGACCCAGAAGACGGCCTAAATCCGCCCCTGATTATAGACTCAATGAGTTTAGAGTATGTAGTGCTGATGGTGATTGGCTGGTAGTTCTCTGGATGGTTTGGGTTTAGTCCAAGCTTTTTCAGTATGGGGATTAACACCCCCTCTGCAAAGGTGACCTGGACAATATTGTAACGCAGAATAATGCAGAATAGCGAAAAGATCACATAACACGTCGCTTTTAGCAAAGGCAATATGTTCGGCAGTTATGCCATCGATGCCTGGAGAACAATTTCTTTTCAGGCTATTCATAACTTGTTGAGTAGTGACTGTTATATTAGTTTGAGAACCAAGTAAAGATTTGTAACACATCTCAACAACCTAAGAGATGTGAGCTTGCTCTGAGGTCAGGTCCTTGCTGCCCGTCATAATCCCTTTATAAAATTCGGCAAATTGAGTAGCAGTTAAGTTCGAGTTTAGCTTTACAGAGTTCCTCCTCCTAAGCTTTTTCCACAGCCTATTTTTGTTCCTGGTATAAAATAGATTCTTCATTTCATTAATTTCAGAGTTAATTGTGTTTTGGGAATACTAACAACAGAAGTTTCTGCAGTCATAAATTACGCCTTTCCAAGGGTGGCCATTTGATGTCCAGATTTTGCCACCAGAGTTTTTTCTTTTCTGGCAATTGACTCAAGTGTGAGCACCACCAATGCTAGAATGAAGATTTATTGTGTACTGAGCAACAAGCCTCTCTAGCTGCTTCATGGCAAATGTTGCTTAGGCTGGTCATTGCTCCGTTGATCTCGTTTTCTATTTTATCGGGCTGTAGAGATTCAAACGCCTGCAACTTTATATATTATTATATATTTTCAGGCTGCACTGTTTCATAAGTCCATGATTAAGAAGATATTTCCTCTGATTGGCCAGTGGTAGCCATGAAGCCTTCTGGAGAATAATTATTTTCCACCAGTATTTAGAAAAGACTTCGAATTCCAAGAAAAAGAGGAGGTAGGCTGAAAGGGAGCAGTGATCACCCGCACAAAAACACAGTAGACACTCCAGCGCAGTAGACTACTGCAATCATACGGCAAACATGCCTCAAATCTGCTTCGATTTGGGAGCTAATTAGCATATTTGAAACATGCTTCTATCAAGCTGCTAATCTACTGCATTAATGCTCCTCTCTGAACAAACCTATGTACTTTTTGGAGTAGAATTGCAGTAGGCTATACTGCATTTCTACTGCAAATATGCTCCACACCACTACTGCACTAATGCTTCTTTGCTACTTCGATACTACTGCATTTTCATGTGGGCAATAGCAGAGATGAGGAAACCATGTGATTAACAGAAAAAGTGGAAGCTATTGGCATATACAAAATTGCATAATAACACTGTAAGACAAATAACTCACTGTCAGCTAAACATTTTTAAATATTAGTGTATAGAAATGAGATCTTTCAGAAAAATTGTGAAATAGTTATTTCATTTATTGACTGAGGCAGTTGATAATGATTTATTTTATAAAACTAAACGTTTAATAAATTGTTGGATAATTTGCCCAGATCAGCAACTTATTTAAATGAAAACAATTATTAATTTTAAAAATTGGTATAAAATCTGTAGGTATCATTATGTGGATATAAAGAAGGGTTGTGTGATGATCCTCTTTAATACAGAGTTCAAAGACCTAGATGATGTCAACACTGGATAGGTGTTTATGCAGGTGAGTCATGAGTTTGCGAAAACAATAAGCATTGCCCTCTTTTTATCACTTCAAAATTAGTTTAGATGAATTCCTGCTTTAAAATGGCAACTCCATTGCACATCTTAAATTGTTTTTATAGTTATAGAAAAAGATCCAAAGAACAGCTTAGGCTGTATTCCCAGAGCTTTTAGATCGATCTATCTCCGCGGGGAGTCTCACTAGATTACTGTCAGATAATCCGGCTTAAATGTCCGTCCCGCCTACTACAAGCTGTAAGGGGGTAATTAACTTTCGTGTCCGCCCGGCTGACAGCTATTTAGCGTGAACCCCCAGGGAGTTAGGTCGATCTAAAGTAGATCGATCTAATCTCTGGAAATGGGGTCTTAACTTCTGAGTTATTACCATAATTGATTCCACTATTTCTAAATGATATACAATTATTTTTAGTTCATAACACAATTGGTAGAAGTCTGTGCCTTTTTTTAATTGTAAATATACACCCTCAGATAAAACTAACGCTTAGTCTAATAACTTCATTTTTAATATTTATTCACTTAAACCTCTCTCCTGNCTCTCTTTTAATTTTTATGAAAATTGGCTAGATGTAATGATTTTAATGTAGTCATTTATTTATTTATTTGTTTATTTATTTACTTAAAACCACCTTTAAAAGATGAGTAAAAGAATAAATATATATAAAATAATACCATATATAAGAACAGTAGTTAAAATGATTTTAATAGCAGTCCCGCCAACATATATTCTTTTGAGTGTCTGTTCTGATAGCAGGGGCTGTTTACAAAGAATCTCAGCATATCAACCAGCCCTGCCGGCACATGCATGTCCGGGCCAGCATTTCAAGTTCCTGATCCACTCAAACAGAAGATTGGATTCGCATCACAAGAAACAGTCCTTCACTAACAGCAACGATCCCTTCACTATGGAACAATTAAGAAAATGAGACAGTTGATGAATTAAAAGTTTAAGATATATGGTGTGTCAATTGCTCATTATCCTGCATTATAGTGATGCGATCTACATTTCTAGATAAAGTATAACTAATTTTCGGGATAAGTATGGCTTCTAGGAGATCAGAGGTATGAGATCGCGAAGATAAACCCATGAATCTTGTTACCTGTTTGTTTTGTAATGTATTCTGGTCTTGTATATTTTTATTAAACATACAGATAGTTAGTTCCGTAGGTTATGAGAGGGGACACTAGTGCACCCCATATATACGATTTGGGTTTTGTGTTCAGACCCTTATAGCACACCCCATGCAACATTGCTCCATAATATGCCTTGGTTGCTAGCAGCCGTGTGGTCATTCACCGTGCAGTTGCTATTAAACGTCACACACAGAATATTTAAAGAGGCTGTCGTTTCCATAGGATATAGACCTAAGACCCGGGAAGGGGGTGTTTTCAATAAGACTTTTCTTACTGTCATACATTTTGATTTTTTTTGACTAAATTTCTTTCTCCAGCACAGGGAGCAGTCGTGACAAACATTAATCAGCACTTGAAGTCCAGTCACAGTTGTAGAAAAAATTGTTAAATCATCAGCATAAGTAATATTATTATGTAAGTTATTTCCGATTAAAACACCAGCATGCCCGCAGTGGTACAGGGCACACTGGGGAGGATTATAGACTCAATAAGTTTGGAGTATGTAGTGCTGATGGTGATTGGCTGGTAGTTCTCTGGATGGTTTGGGTTTAGTCCAAGCTTTTTCAGTATGGGGATTAACACCCCCTCTGCAAAGGTGACCTGGACAATATTGTAATGCAGAATAATGCAGAATAGCGAAAAAATCACATAACACGTCGCTTTAAGCAAAGGCAATATGTTCGGCAGTTACGCCATCGATGCCTGAAGAACAATTTCTTTTCAGGCTATCCATAACTTGTTGAGTAGTGACTGTTATATTAGTTTGAGAACCAAGTAATGATTTGTAGCACATCTCAACAACCTAAGAGATGTGAGCTTGCTCTGAGGTCAGGTCCTTGCTGCCCGTCATAATCCCTTTATAAAATTTGGCAAATTGAGTAGCAGTTAAGTTCAAGTTTGGCTTTACAGAGTCCCTCCTCATAAGCTTTTTCCACAGCCTATTTTTGTTCCTGGCATAAAATAGATTCTTCATTTCATTTATTTCAGAGTTAATTGTGTTTTGGGAATACTAACAACAGAAGTTTCTGCAGTCATAAATTACGCCTTTCAGAGGGTGGCCATTTGATGTCCAGATTTTGCCACTAGAGTTTTTTCTTTTCTTGCAATGGACTGTGTGGGCACCACCAATGCTTGAATGAAGATTTATTGTGTACTGAGCAACCAGCCTCTCTAGCTGCTTCATGGCAAATGTTGCTTAGGCTGGTCATTGCTCCGTTGATCTCGTTTTTTATTTTATCGGGCTGTAGCAATTCAAACGCCTGCAACTTTACATATTATTATATATTTTCAGGCTGCACTGTTTCATAAGTCCATGATTAAGAAGACATTTCCTCTGATTGGCCAGTGGTAGCCATGAAGGCTTCTGGAGAATAACTGTTTTCCACCTGTATTTAGAAAAGACTTCGAATTCCAAGAAAAAGAGGAGGTAGGCTGAAAGGGATCATGCAATAGCAGAGATGAGAAAACCATGTGATTAACAGAAAAAGTGGAAGCTATTGGCATATACATAATTGCATAATGTCACTGTAAGACAAATAACTCCTCACTGTCAGCTAAACATTTTTAAATATTAGTGTATAGAAATGAGATCTTTCAGAAAAATTGTGAAAAAGTTATTCCATTTATTGACTGAGGCAGTTGATAATGATTTATTTTGTAAAACTAAACATTAAATAAATTGTTGGATAATTTGCCCAAATCAGCGACTTATTTAAATGAAAACAGTTATTAATTTCAAAAATTATAAAATCTGTAGGTATGATTATGTGGATATAAAGAAAGGTTGTGTGATGATCCTCTTTAATACAGAGTTCAAAGACCTAGATGATGTCAACACTGGATAGGTGTTTATGCAGGTGAGTCATGAGTTTGCAAAAACAATAAGCATTGCCCTCTTTTTTATCACTTCAAAATTAGTTTAGATGAATTCCTGCTTTAAAATGGCAACTCCATTGCACATCTTAAATTGTTTTTATAGTTATAGAAAAAGATCCAAAGAACAGCTTAACTTCTGAGATATTACCATAATTGATTCCACTATTTCTAAATGATATACAATTATTTTTAGTTCATAACACAATTGTTAGAAGTCTATGCCTTTTTTTTAAATTGTAAATATACACCCTCAGATAAAACTAACACTTAGTCTAATAACTTCATTTTTAATATTTATTCACTTAAACCTCTCTCCATAGAACACCCCAAACTTTTTTTATTGTCATGGCCTTTTTTATTGTCAAGGTACCCAAGATAGGAACATGTACTGGTACAGGCATGTTATGTCATTTATTGTCATGGTCATATTGTCAAGGTACCCCAGATAGGTACATGTACTGGCATGTTATGTCATTTATTGTCATGGTCATATTGTCAAAGTACTCCAGATAGGTACATGTACTGGCATGTTATGTCATATATTGTCATGGTCATATTGTCAAGGTACCCCAGATAGATACATGTACTGGTACAGGCATGTCATGTCATTTAGAAAAGTGATGTGGTCCTAGGGACCATTCCCAGACCCTATCATACTAACTGTGAATCGATCTATCTCCAAGGGGATTCTCACTAAATTGCAATCAACTTAAGGGACGGATGTACCCAAATATAGCTAAAAATAGTCATTTTTGGTTTTTAATGTCTAATTATTGGTTAATTGTGTATCTAACGTTTAACAGAATAAAATTTTTACATTTTGAACCAAAAATATGTTTTTTTCTGAGGATTCTGATGCTGCACACATCAGCACCGGTGGCCTGGTCTATGCCCCGCCTTCGTTGTCAACGGCCGTTGGCATGGGTAAACTCGATGGGCGGACCTTAGCAGCATCAGCAAGTCTAGGGAAACAATAGAACAGGGATGTGCCATGCCCCCTTTGTCATAAACAGCGATCGGCAAAGCAGTGCCTATTGTTCCACTTAAGCTGTTTTGAAAGTCGCTCTTGATTGTGATCAGCGCTAAGATGAATCTTTTCCGACACATTGGATTTGCTCGAAATACGCGTTTTCCCTTGAATATTGCTTGTCACACGCGCTCTTTCCATTTTCTTGTGAACTTTTTGAGACACGCAAAAGAAAAGAAGAAAATTCTGTTGCTTGCTACCCGTGACAACAATCGTCATACTTTCTATCCATTTTCGACAACAGCTTGATGCAGTTGTTAGATTTTAATAATCTACATGGGCGTAACTAGGCATACGCACAGATGCACTGTGCGTACAATTTTTTGGCCAACCATGCTATTATTTCATATAAATTTTCACGGAATATAAAGAAATCCTCTGCTTATTAAAGTCACCTGTATGAACAAATCCTCTGTATCAAAATCCAAGTACTAGGTCACACGATGAAGTTGGAGCTGTGTTCCAAGCATAATTAGATATTTTGAGGATACATTAAATGAGTATGCCAGGAATAAAAAGGCTAAGACCTTTATTTAAGGAGAAAATCTCAAACCTACATTCCCACCTAAAGCAGCTTAGATGTCTGCCATGCCTACTGAACCTGTTAAGGGGTAATTTATTATCATTTAACAGCTTCAGTAGGCATCCCAGACATCTAAGCCGCTGGAAGCAATTGAGCGAGAAACCCATTGAAGATGGATCAATCATGTTAGATCAATCTAGGTATAGGAACCCAGTCTTAATATTTGCTATGGCTACAGGTTTGATGTACTAATACTATTACTAATAGATAATAGTTTTCCTATAACATGAATTAATATTATATGAATCAATATTATAGAACCTATTTGGGTTTTATGTAAATAGGATGATGGTTTACTCATACTGCCTTTGTTAATGAATGGTTGTGTTCAGTTGATAGATTAAAATATTGAAGAGTACAGACACAGTAGTATTGATGGCTGGTCAGAAAACCAAACCAAACCAAAAGATTTGGAACAATGGAAAAAAAACATATTTTACTTCTATTATAGACAGACCATACCTGTTGAGGTAAAAATATCTGATTTTTTAAAAGAACTTTACAATTCATGTGTCACCTCTCTTGCCTATAGATGCCATTGAATCTACTTCATACAGCGTAGAAGATATTTGTTTGAGTGTTTATATACAGGCACTGTATTTGTGTCAATATATATTCTGATATCTATGGGTTCATTCTCACAGACACCATAGGTCAACTTAGAGTGATCCATCTCTGTGCCTGGACTCTCGCCAAGTGCAATCAGCTTAATTGAATGACACGTCTCTGAAGGCATTGAATAGAATACAAAATAGCTGCTGATTATGCAAGTATGTTGGAAACAAGAGGAGACATGTCATTCACTTAACGTTGTTTGCACTCAGAAAGAGACCCTGCAAATCTACGATCGATGTTTTGTTGATTTTTCATTACAGAATTTTTGCACAGAATTTTCTTGTGGAAGAAGTGAGCAAAAACCAGAACTTGTGGGTGGTTACTGAGACTCTAGACGCCATCGTTTATCATCTGTACCTGTTGTCATGGAGATCAGTGTGACAGACATACTCCAGACCATATGGTACCACAGCTGACAGCTTAGGTAAAACTGCTCCCTGTGATTTTATTTATTTATTTATTTATTTATTTATTTATTTTTATCAAAACAACTAAAGACCTATATCAGCAGTAGTTCCATCATATGCGTAGTGAACAATATAAAAAAGCGTCATGTTTTGCTTACTAAAATGATTCCTGCAGTTGGGTATTTAATATATTCTTTTACAGTGTAATAATATCTTTATTTCAAGACATATTAATCAATTAAAGCCATGGGTACCTTCTGAAAGAATATTTTGAAATTTTTCCAGATTCATCAACAGAAGCCCACCTTCTTATCAGTATGACAGCAAGGACAAATCTGGTTCAGTTCATCAAATACAAGTATTGGTCATTAGATTAACTTAGACCCCTTTCCATACCTAGATCGATCTAGCAGGATCGACCCATCACCAGGGGAATTTTCACTAAATTTGAGTTCAGATCAAGCAGCTTAGATGTCTGGCACACCTACTGAACTTTACATCAATCGAAATCAAGTGAAGTTCAATGTGTTTAATTCTGAAAAATAAAAGATAATATACATATCGTAAACTTTGATGTTGTGAAAAACTCAAAAACTGGAAACAACTTAAAAACTGGAATAGGGAAGAAAAGGAAGCCAATGTTCAGATTTTCACATCAGATTCTCGGAAAGTAAATCTACTAATTTCTCAGGTAAAATAATACATTTACAGAAAATAAAAAAAATGGAGGGCATCCGTAATCCAGGGACATCGAATTTTTTCTGAACTAAAAAATAATGCTTTGATTGTCTTTATATGTATTTATTTTATACAGTAGTTACATGTAGCATGCAATAAAGTGGCATGGTAGGGTATACGGATATGTATGTATGTATGTGTATGTTTTTGAGAAATATGTATGTGAGAAGTGATATGTATAGTATTGTACATTGTAATGTTTATTTTCAGTCTAATTAAAGAAAATATACATACAATTTTTAGAGAATGTACGCATCTGATTCTATTTTGAAATATTTATATACATTTTTAATAATCCTTACATAGAATTACATTGATCATATGTTACTGAACATGTCAAACTACTGTCTCTAAGTCGGTTATTAAACTCATCACAGGCATCTGTAAGTAGCTGGCCTGGGGGAACGAGATGTGTAATTTAAATGAATCTGCAGATTGTTACTTTTCATGAAATTTGTATTTGCAACTTATTCAAAATGTTTGCAAACACTTGTAGAAAAGTGTACGGCTACCAGGGTGGTATTATTGGGTAGTGGGTCGAGAGTTCGAGGCCCATCTCGGCATGCCTATGGCTTAAGTACACGCCTCTGTGGTTTAGAGCCGCAGTGGTCGCCCGCTTCGCGGATTAGATTCCCGACACATTTGGAAAACATGACACTGAGTTCTGTCTTAAGAAATGTACTATTGTTTACATCAGCTACTTTCCAGCTTACGGCAGCTGTGGACAATATGTCTATCAATAAATTACTGAGATCTCTAACAGTAGGGCCATTCAATGAATTTTGTTTTGGTCATTTCCTTAAAGTCCAGCTTAGGGCGTTTAATGTTTATCTTGTTTTTTTTTTTTGCTTTCTAACTAGGGAAATAAGATAAAAGTTAATTCAGCCAATAAAAATGTTGAAATATAAATATCGGAAATTGTTTTCATTTGAGACATAAAACTATTGTATTAGAATAAAGTACTTATTAAAATGCTTCATTTATTGTGAGTAAAAGTCAAGTGCTGGCTTCTTGACTGACGTCCCAAATGCCTTTGAATAAGAATCGCTGTTGTTATTGTGCTTTTTCAAACTTTAAAACTAAAAGAGTCCCATTGGTTATACGTATTTCCGTTACCTGTGAAAGCCACTTTTTATTTCCCCGAGATGCATGAAATGTTTATATCATTTATAATGATCTGTGAAGACCCCTCCTTCCCGTGACTCGTGAATGTGCCTTTTTATTCTTTGCCCTTTGTGAAACGAAGTATTATACTCGGTGATTCGTGATTATCAGGATTTTCGATTTGCATTATCGGTGAGATATGATTTAAGTTTTATTTACTGTGATTTGTAAATGAATGATTTTAATAATAATAATAATAATAATACATTTCTTTAAACCGAGCTACACTTGCGTCTCAGCGCAGTTAACACTTACATATAAAAACTAAAACTACAAAGATTAATTAAAAACTAACATAGAAGTATTTAAAACTAAGATATAAAAGTTAACCAATATATTCCTTAACTACAGAGGTGTTTAATTCTTTTTAAAATTGTAACATTTGTTAAGTACGTTAGTAAAATTGGACCATAAAATTGGTGCAGCAATTTCAAAACTCCATACGTTTTTAAAGTCTTTTTGGTTTCGCTTCGCTTGAGTTGAAATTGACCACTGGAACGAAGAGTTCTAAGATGAATTGAAAGTTCTATTATATTGTTCACATAAAATGGACAGTCGCCCTTTAAAATTATTCAGTGTGACATGACATTTATATAAAAGTCAGGAGTAAAATCTTATAAACTATTCTTTGAGAGACTGGTAACCAATGAAGATCGCGGAGAACTAAGACAATTCCCCCCCCCCCTTTTTCCCCAGA